TTTGACCTAATAAAAAGTTTAGAAATCCTGGCTTAAGTTAGGAATTTGTTTCAAAAGCTGAACTTTATCATTCCTCAATGTTTTCCACTTTAATACCATCCTTTTAACAAATATGAGCCTAGTACATGTGGGCAAGATGGTTAATATTTTCACTCCCAGATGTAAACAAATGAAGAAAATTAAACGAGTGTATAATTTTCCATATATTCACAACTACAGTGACTTGTTATGTAAAGGGTGTCTCAAAAAATGTATACACACACTTTGAATAATAATAAAGGCAGTGTTTATTAAAATATGTTTCGTGTTCAAAATAGAGCTTACAGCTATATGCATTTTTGGGGACACCCTGTATATGAATACATACACATATAAATTTACTCATATGTGTTGGAATTTTTTTTTTCGGGACCCCTTCAGGGAAGACCAACCAGCCCCTACCTGTGCACCAGTCCTCTGTTTATACCAGCCGTGGGCAAACTACAGCCCACGGGCCAGATCCGACCCGTTCAGCTGCGGGCCGAATCCCACGGAGCCGAAAGAGCAGAGGGTTCTCTTGCTCTCCCCTCCGCTCCTTCACCAGCAGCAGTGTTAACAGGGCAAAATCGGGAAACACGGCCGCAGCTCCTTCTCCTGAGTACAGTTTAAGAACCCATTGTGGCCCTCAAGTCAAAAAGTTTGCCCACCCCTGGGCTAGTCTCTAGGTATCCTTTAAAGATAATTTATAAAAAACTAAATTAGGAATTTGCCTCAATCCATCCAACAAAAACCTTGGAATGTTAATTAATTTTAAACTACATATTGTTCTAAATAAAAATAATGCATGGTCTTTCCAATAAATAAAACTTAAAATATATTACTGCCCCTTATTCACTAATCTAAAAATCATGACTTATTATTTATTACTAGAGGCCCGGTTCCACAAAAATTTGTGCACTCGAGGGGTCCCTCAGCCCAGCCTGTGCCCTCTTGCAGTCTGGGAGCCCTCGGGGGATGTCCATCTGCTGGATTAGGCCTGCTCCCCGGGGGATCAGGCCTAAGCTGGCAGTCAGGCATCCCTCTGGCAGCCCAGGAGGCCTCGGGGGATGTTCACTTGCCAGCAGGGAGCAGGCCTAAGCTGCAGTCGGACATCCTTAGTGCTGCTGAGGAGGCGGAAGAGGCTCCCGCCCCCCCCGCTGTGCTCCCGGATTAGGGTGGGGGTCCTGCTGGGTTCCTGGCCAGCCTGGGTGAGGGGATTATGGCTGTTTGCAGGCTGGTCAAGCCTCCCAGTGGGGTCCCTCACCCCTTGGGGGTGTGGCCAGCCTGGGTGAGGGGCTGAGGGCTGTTTTCAGGCTGGCCACACCTCCTTCAGGGTGGGGTGGGGGGAGTCCTACTGGGTTACCTGGCCAGCCTGTGTTGAGGGGCTGATGGCCATTTTCAGGTTGGCCATGCTCCCTGGTGACCCAAGCTTCCAGCCTGTCATTTTTTTCTTTTTCTTTTTTTCAGCAGGTATCTGGGATTTATTTATCTTCTATAATTGAAACTTTGTAGCCTTGAGCAGAGCCCAGGTCCAGCCAGGGCAGGTGGGAAGCTTGACTTCCTCCTTCACTGGGGGAAACCCAAGCCTCCTGCTCGCTCCAGCTCCGTGGCAGCCGCCATCTTTGTGACAGAGTGACGGAGTGATGGTTAATTTGCATATTCCTCTTTTATTAGATAGGATTTCTCTGGAGGCTAGTAGAAATTACTTCCTCTTTCAATTAAATTAAAAAAATAATGCTAAGAACTACTCATCAACAGAGTTTCCACTGTCAAAATATAAATTGTGGTTAAAAATATCACAGCCCTGAAGGAAGTACCTTCCCATAATTCTCCAGATGATTCTTACTTAGGTTTTCAATGGAAAGGCTCATTGGATTGAGAAACCTAACTTGTACAGAGGTAAGTCAGATACTGCAGTTGTTAGGAGATTTTTGAGGAATGAGTAATGAGAAGTTGTTTTGATGCTCTTAAATAGTTAGGCTTCTCCTTCCACACACACACAAAAATTCAACATAATATCTGCATTTCTGGTCATGGAAAGAATTGCTATCACTCTGAATGCAGTCTCTCAGGCATTAGAGAAAATGCCACCTAATTTGGTATTATATCACAGTAAGAAGTGAAAAGCCATTCATTCCTGCAGTCACTCATCAAAGAGTTATTGAATCTTTATTTGCATATGCCACCTATTACACTAGTGTCTGAGAAGACAGAAATAATGGCCAACTTAAAATCTAATGAAAGGATGGGTAAGACAAGGATATAGGGAAGTTAGAATCTAGTTGTATAAGAAGAGATGTATAAAATGACCTAAGCTAGAAAGCAGAATAGTTTGATAGTAAAATAATGGTAAAAGCAAGAGAGAAAATAAAAAAGACAGTCTAATAAAAATGTACAATAAACCTATTGAGAATAAACTGTAAATGTTTTCAGTTATTTTGGTGTTAACATGTACACACTGAAATAAAAAAAAATACACTTTGAATTGCTATATTTCTATCAAAATTCAGATGCCTTTATCTTAATTTTCCATTATGCTTTACCATAAGAAAAATATTATTGCTAGTCTGAAATAATTTAGCTTAGAAGCTAAGATAATTCTCCTCAGTTGTGTCAGTAACATTAAAAAAAGCAACTTATGAAAATGAAACAGTATGTCCTAGTATTTAAAAGACACTTGTACATAAAGGGAATTAAATATTATCTAAAGTTTACTCAGAGCTGTGTTTTGCATTTTTTTAAATAAAATTAAGATTTTTAAATATTTATCAGTTATGACCATTTTTTTATATGTATCAGTTAGGTACACTCATACATATTTATACTCAAACTGACAAAATTAAAAGTGGTCATATATGATGTTTTCTACGAGGTGAATATATTGGTGTAAGACTGTGGGAGCATTCATACGAGCCAACCCTTTGATGTTTTCCAACTGGAAAACACTTCTGAAGGCAAGTCACAATGAACTAGATGGAGTAGCATTCTATCTCAGTAGAGATTCTGTGTACTACACTACCTGAAGAATTAATCAGCTTATAACCAAAATGCCCTTCAAGGAAGGGCTAACGACTGGAGACGAGCTGCCCAGAGGAGAAAGAGTCAGGTTTTATAGCTGCATGTAGTTAATAGCAGCATTGTTTAGGTGAAAAGACAATGAACTATTTCAGGTACAGAGGCCAGAAAAAGACCACCAAAGCAGTCTAATCAAATGTACAGTAAACTTATTGAGAATAAACTGTAAACCTTTTCCCTCTTGAGAACCATCAAAAGTCAAACTTACCTGATCTACTATCCAGAGGTCCGAAATCCAAAGAATATTTCACGACGTGATAGTTATTCCATACGTAAAGAAGGTTGTCCCTGGGGTTGTAATCCACAGCTGCTATGTACTGGTACGAGTTGGGAAAGGGCACATCCACCAGACTATCCTTACTTTGGTCGGTGTTGTAAATGTAGTCAATCTTATTCCCTGTGGCCTCGTTGTCATCATCCTCATATACAGATTTGACCACATACAGAATCCCACAAATCATAAACGCGTTGGAAGCTGACCTTTTATCATAGGCAGTGTCCCACGTCCCTTCGATCCGTAAGGTGTAAGGGTTCAATTGACTAATGACAATTTTACCATTGTTTTGTTCTGTTGCATAGATGACCCATAGCCCATTCTCATCCACTGCCAGGTCTATGTCCGATTTACCTCCCCATCGGTAAGGGGAGGTGTCGTGGTAGTTGGCATTTGCGATGATAGCCTCTCCACTCTTTATCCTAGTCCGCAAATCAAACTTCACTATGTTCCTGGTGCGCTCTTTGTTGAAGAACAAAGCTCCATCGTACACGACGAACCCTGTGCCATCCACCCTGTGAGGAAGCTTGTAGGTTGTAGTTGGCCTTCCAGCAATGAAGTCATCCTTGGATGAGTACTCGGTCAGGGTGTCAGTTCTGTAAGGGGTCCAGGGCATATAATAGATCTTGTCTGAAGCCTGCAGAGGATCTTTGCACCATGCCCCCGATTGGTGGTCAGACTCAAACAAATGTTCACTCTGGTACACTCCCTTTAGTAGTCCAGGACAAAGAAAAACTGTTGGAAGGAAAAGAGTTAAGATAATAAATATATTAATTTTCATATTTTGCCCCTCGTTCTTATTTTCCACCAAGTGGAATGCAACTCTAACCAGAGATACCCACCACCACTTAGTTATTTTTGCTGCATTCTTCTGAGAACACAATGTAGTCATACACATTCGACGTTTATGTAAAATCATTTCGATTTCATTTGCTGAAAAATTTGGCCTTTTAGGAGTAGCTGTGCTTTCCTTTGGTTTCCACCTTTGTACACATGTATTACCATATTTTAGGTTATACATATACAAATGAGCTGTATGTCTATGTATCCCATAGACATTACAAATGCAAGTGTTAATACATAATTTTTTTGTGTATCTTATTTAAAATGTTCAAAAAATATTGTTTTTACTCCAATGATATCAGCTATTCAACACTTGTCATTAAGAAATATGTCAAAATCCAATAGTAATTAAATATAATAACAAAGGAAAAGTAAAGCCCTGCAATACAGGCCACTGAATGTTCTAGTAAACAAAGCTTTTAAAGCTGCGATAGTGTACACAGAGCATGCAACCCACACAATTATAAATGAGTGATGGATGAATACTGGAAGGGAAAAGAGAAAGGAAGAGAAAGAAAGGAAAGAAGGAATAAGGAGAGAAGAAAAGGTGAAAGGTTACAGAGCAGAACCCAAGGTCTAGATTTTAATCAGTTAAAAATGTCCTGTTAAACACAGTAGTATTGGAACTTAAAAACATGTACCTTTTACTGTTACATGAGAAGAGCATTAAAATACTTGCTATAATATTTTGCTGCTCATACTTCAGACTGAACATGGGTAAGAGGTATCTGATTAAGTTGATTTTTAATAAGATTCAGTAGCACACTGTGTCAGTGGTGGTAAGAAAGCTTGGCTGATTGATCTGTAACAAAGGGGTTATAAAGCAATGTTTCCCAAAGGGTGGTCCTCGGAACACCTTTCTAGTAGTATAGCTAGAAGTTACACAGGAAGAAAAAAGGGTCCTTAGAATCAGGTATAAACCCATATCATGCTAGGAAGAGTTGTGGCAGAGATTCCAATAGTGAATCTCCGAAGCGGAAGTGGGAAAGTGAGCAAGTTTTGCCAACTGGTTTGATCAGGGAATCCTTTCTACAGAGCCTCTTTGCAGTGGAATATTCTTCTGAACCTGCTATGGGAAACACTGCTGTAATATTTTTGCAAAGCAAACACACTGAAAAATAATCATGCAGTCTACTGTTATGTTTCAAATGATTACACGTGTATTGGGTTGTGGAATTAGAAATTCACAAGGAACTTGGATGTTTACCCAATATTTTAATGATTAATGAAAAAAGTATTATTTTCTTGATGTTAGTAATTAGATGTTTAATAGAAACTATAAGCCTAGATTCACCAGAAGCAGCCTAAAGTGAAACTGAGCTGGGATTTGGAGGTTATTAAAAAGAAAATACATTATTAAAGTGCCCAAAGTTTTACTTTTGGAGAAATAAAAAAATTCAGGGAAAAGCTATCAAACTCTTCCATAACAGGGATAGAGGGCCAATTCAATTTATAAAACTGATGTTAGAAGAATTTCCCAGGATTCTAATATGATGGATATAATTATAAAGGAAGGGTAGGCATTATTGTAAAAATTACATATAAACTTTATGTTAATTAATAACCAGCTCTTGGTTTCAAAAGTAATTTATTTTAAGATATTTCAAGAAATCCATCTCTCTTTTCCCCCAATAGTTAAAAATAAAGAAACAGGGGAAACAATAGCAAAGTTATGAAAAATTAGTATAGAAATAAAAACAAATCTAAAGCAATCACTATCCATCACCATCTACTGGATTTCTAACTACTTATTTAAAAATAAAGAGGAATAAAACACACAATCAAAATGTTTACACTATTAAACTGTCTTAGGATATAAGAATCAAAGCAGCACTGGTCAAGCCAACAAATTAAAGTGAAGTTGAGCAGCAGAAGTAGTAAATAATTTTTCATAAAATAGATAAGAATTAATAACAAAATTATGTTAACTAAATGTTAAACTGTCAAATAACTTAGCCTATAAATAATATATAATTTATGAAAGGTATTTAATTACCTTTTTGTTCCACTTCTATTGGAGAGAGAGAAGTAAAGAGAGAGAAAGAAGAAAAGAGAACAGATTAATGGTACGGTATTGGCCAAGCACTTTTTATTCACCTCTTCCAAACTGAAAGTATATAATTAATTTCACTCAAACTGGCTTTATTGAACATTATATGGCTTATTTTTACAAACCCATTCCTCTAGCAAAATTATTTTCTAAAATACAACAAAAATCATATTATCATCTTAAAGTTACAGTACAAACAGAAAAACCAAGACAAAAGTTCATCAAGCTAAGATTGCATAAACATCCTTTGTAACTATAGGTATAGGAAATACAATATTCACAGTAAGAACACCAAAATTTCCATTTGAAAGGCAGGTTGGTAAAATACACAGAAAACTTTCAAATTGTTTGGCTAGATTCACTTTTGAAATACTGAAGTTTATACCACTCTTTACCATAATAGTCTTGCTTTGTATCCATCTCCAGAAGGAATCTCTTCAGAAGAAAGGACTCTGTGACTCATTTCCTGAGGCCTAAGATTTTTTCCATAGCCTGTCAGTCTGATGAGAAATGCACCCCATGAGGCTGCCCATTAAAAGGGAATGCTCTCACCCTGAGAAAGGGATTTAGAATCCTTTTTGAAGATACTCTCTTCCTCCCACTCTTCAATATTTTATATTATTGTGGAAAAATAATGCCTTTTGGAAAAAATCTGTATTAGAAGGTTGATATAAATAATAAGTCACCTGCTCTGGCCTTTTCTGAAATTCTGAACTGAGTTTTAAACACACTCTTGTAAGAATAAATTGATTCTCAAACATGTTATGGTTACATATCTCTCAAATTAGATTCTATTAGTAGTTTTCAGGTACTCATCCATACAAGTCAGGGAACATTCTGGGAAGCTATAACATGTTCATGAAGCACATCAAGTAGCATCTTCATTATCCTATAAATATGTGTCTCATCAGAATTTGCTTAGATCACAACAAGAAAAAAAAAAAGAGCCCAATGGAAAATAGAGGAAAAGAGCCAGGAAAGAATGGGCTCATATCACAAACTTAAAAAAAACTACAAGTTTCAAGTGATGTAAATCAAAGAGAATTTCAGAGAAAGGGATAAACTGGGATATTATGCACAATAAATAAATTTAAAACTGTAGGAAAGTTTCAAAACAAGGGAGAAATATTATTTTGGGTAATTATATTTGGGTGAGATTTTTATGCTTTGACTTAGCTAAGTTCATTTCTTCACTTATTTTCAAAATTACACTTAATTTATCTTCATTGACTTTTTGAAACTTTAGTATCATTCATATATATATATGTATATATATATATATACACACATATATAATTATATTTAAGAAGTTAAAAAATGGGATTATCTTTTTTAGATTCCTGATCTCACTAATATACAAATCTTACTTTAACAGTACTTCTAGGACTGTTAAAAACTATTAAATTGTTATAATTTATCATAATTCTCAATTAATCTTTGCTGAGAAATTACGATGTTCTTTGGACTGTGAGTGTAAAGCTTTACCCAAGAGATGCACTTCCTGCTAAACCTGAGTTAGGGCTGACAACTAGGAGAAGAATAACTAAGCACCTTAAGCAATTATTTAATCAACTAGTGGCCCGGTGCATGAAATTTGTGCACAGGGGGAGGGAAGTTGTCCCTGCACCCTCTCCAATCTGGGACATCCCTCTCACGATCTGGGACCGCTCGCTTCTAACTGCTGACCTGCCTGCCTGCCTGATCACCCCTAACCACACTGCCTGCCGGCCTTCTCGCACCCAACTGCCCCCCCTCTGCTGGCCTGATCACCCCCAACTGCCCTCCATTGCCAGCTTGCTTGTCCCCAACTGTCCTCCTCTGCCAGCCTGCTCACCCACAACTGCCCTCCACTCCTGGCCTGATTGCCCCTATCCACCGCCTCGGCCCCCCCACCATGGCTTTGTCTGGAAGGATGGCCAGAAGGTCTCTTGGTCTAATTAGTTTATTATCCTTTTATTAGTATAGATCAGTGGTTTTCAACTTGTGGGTTGCGAGCCCTTGGGCGGTCGAACGACCCTTTCACAGGGGTCACCTAAGACCATCCTGCATATCAGATAGTTACAGTACGATTCCCAACAGTAGCAACATAACAGTTATGAAGTGGCAATGAAAATAATTTTAGGGTTGGGTTACAACATGAGGAACTGTATTTAAAGGGCCAGAAGGTTGAGAAACACTGGTATAGATAGAGGCCTGGTGCATTGTGGAAGCTGGATGGTCTGCCTTGAAAGGGGTTCTAGATCAGGTTGGGGTCCCCTTGGGGGGTGGGGCTGGCCTGGGCCAGGGGCTGGGGTGGTTTGCAAGCTGGCCACGTTCCCATTGCTGTGGGGGTCCCTGCTGGGGGCGTGGCCAGGCTGGGTGAGGGGCTGAGGGCCATTTGTGGGGTGGTTTGCAGGCCAGCCAAGCCCCCAGCTTTGTCTGGAAGGACATACGGAAGGTCTTCTAGTCTAATAAGCATATTACTCTTTTATTAGTACAGACAGTCTCAAAAGCTTGGACTTGAAGCCTATTACAACAAGGTGGAGGCTGGTAGTGAAAAGTCATGCCAATGTTGACAGTTTCAAAGACTACCCTGCAAAGAATTTCTAGAACTAATTTCATTCATTGAAACAGCTCTAAATAGTTATCCTTTTGAGAATTATAAAGGAAGGTATTCTAAAATATAAAATGTATATTCACACAACTTTAGTCTTATTTCACATAGAATTCTTAAGTGATATTATAGTTAAGGGCAAATATGCTAATTCCTTGGTGGTTAATGAGGAAATAGAATATGTGATAGAAGGTATTGATAAGTTTTATATTCTTAAATACTGTTACACTTTAATGCATGAATGCTCTG